GCGAATCTGAAGACAGTGAGGACCTTGGCCAGGCAGCAGGAGGACGGGCACAAGCCTCTAGTGGGCAGCCCTAACCGCTGAGGCTCGTAAGTCACTGGAGCGCTCCGTCGCTCCCCTCGGGTTGAGCGATGAACCAGGGCTTCCAAATGCCCTGGAGCGCCCGCGCTGCCTCCACGTGGCCAGAGGATCATGAGGAAGCCAAAGAAGCCGTTCCTGGCCACAGCAGCATCGGAGAGGAGGCAGGAGGAAGAGGATCCAGCTGAGAGCGCGCGCGGCAAGCTCCCTGGAGCACAAGCCGCTCTTCAGGCACTTTTAAATTTCGCGCCTCTTTGCAAGCTGGTCAGCGCCATTTTGAAGCCGGAAGGACCCACGTGATCCAAGATGGTGGCGCCCAGCAGCTACCAGGAAGGAGATTCCCAGGCAGCTGCAAGCATGGACTGCAGCCCCACCGGAGGGGCAGAAGAGCAAACATCCAGGTCAGTGGCTTCCCCAGAGACTGCCCGAGGAGGGGGGGGGGAGAGGAAAGGCTAAATGCAAAACCAAGCACCTTTCCCCCAGGGCAGATCCAGAGGAAGGGAGGGGTCACAAGCCCCCCAAGCCCTCTAAATACGAGCGGAGGAGGCATAAGGCTTTAGAGAGACTTTGCAACCAAGCAGCCAGCCATCAGAACGCCCCAGGCAAAGGGGGGGAAAATTCAGGCACTCCCTTATCCAGCGGAGGCTCAGGGGAGAATCCAGCCCTGCCAACAAGGATCCCTATAGACACCTCGGGGCTTTGGGGCTCCACTCAGGGGTGGCAATCCCCTATCACCCCTACTGTGGGGGCAGCTTTGCCTACTGGCTTTCCCCTTTTGGGCAGCCCCCCCCCCCCCCTTTGCCTGGGGCGTTCTGATGGCTGGCTGCTTGGTTGCAAAGTCTCTCTAAAGCCTTATGCCTCCTCCGCTCGTATTTAGAGGGCTTGGGGGGCTTGTGACCCCTCCCTTCCTCTGGATCTGCCCTGGGGGAAAGGTGCTTGGTTTTGCATTTAGCCTTTCCTCTCCCCCCCCCCTCCTCGGGCAGTCTCTGGGGAAGCCACTGACCTGGATGCTTGTTCTTCTGCCCCTCCGGTGGGGCTGCAGTCCCTGCTTGCAACTGCCTGGGATTCTCCTTCCTGGTAGTTGCTGGGCGCCGCCAT